CTCAGTGGTTCCTTCACAGTGAACCTGAGTGCGGGCCCAGGCTGAGCGCTGGTTCAGCAGGTGACACTGGATGATCTTTCACAAGAATGAAAAACAAAACAAAAAACCCTCCACAAAACTGTTCACCTTAATGCTTGCTTTGCCGGTAACTTCCACCTGAAGAACTTCATAGGTCAGTCTGGGCTCCCTGTCAGAGGAGTTGGTCAAGAGCAATATCGCAAAGACTGAGGAGAACTCGTGTATACTGTCCAAGTATTGTCTTAGGCAGTGCGTGAATAGCAGTAGTTATTTCTCTAGATGGGTGTCTGTCAAGCTTTCCCCCCAAGAGATGTCATTTGGGGTGTCACGTCCAATTTCAGGGATGGCAGTTAACAGCCTGTAAAGTGTTCCCGGGATAACCTCTCTCAATAAGGGAAGCATGTCCTGGGCATCGACAAGTATGACCTTGTCATTGACACACACCGAGGCAGCCACTCAACAACAGCATCCATTTCCGCTCCTCTTTAGAGTTCTGAGTGACAACTGTGGTCAGATGAAGGTGGAAAGGGAACAAAAACATGAAACACAGTGATTTCCAATACGTTTTTTCCTTGTCTTCAGGCGAAAAATCACACCATTATGTCATTTTCGTGATGTGCTCATCAACAGGAGTGAAAACCTCATTTGTCATCTTTTGGTCTGATATAAAATCAGAGTTTAGGGAATTCGGCTGGGCTGTCAGCACTCTCGCTGTCAAGAAGAACAGCCGAGGGGCGCCTGGGTGGCGCAGTCGGTTAAGCATCCGACTTCGGCCAGGTCACGATCTCGCGGTCCGGGAGTTCGAGCCCCGCGTCGGGCTCTGGGCTGATGGCTCGGAGCCTGGAGCCTGTTTCCGATTCTGTGTCTCCCTCTCTCTCTGCCCCTCCACCGTTCATGCTCTGTCTCTCTCTGTCCCAAAAATAAATAAAAACGTTGAAAAAAAAAAAAGACTTTAAAAAAAAAAAAAAAAAGAAGAACAGCCGAAGGAAGGCGGCAAGAACACGGGGCCAATGAGAGCTCTGGACCCTGATGCCATTGCTCACTGTAGAAATCCATGGAAAGATCTTGTGCTCCTTGGCATTCCAACCCAATCTGCTAGAGCTGTTTATCAAGTTCCCATGCAGACAGGATGTAAATATGCCACTTAAATCTGCAACTACAATAATGAAAACTGATACTTGTAATTGTATCTGTGTGGTCCCACTGACTCAGAGCTAAATGGATTTCCAACCTAGTATTGCTAAATGAATCCTCAAAAGATGTGAGGTCCATTACAGTGGAAAAGCGGCATCGCTTCTCACATCCTGTCATGATAAGGACATCTCCATCGTTTTGTATGACTGAAATATTTTTATCTGTCTCCTGGAATTGCCTTCCTCAGTTTTAACCCCATCTTTTGTGCTGGAAAATTCGTGCCAGGTGAGCGTTCCTTCCATTTGCTCTCATCTGTTCTAGTCTGAACAGCTGTTGGGCCATGCCAACGAGAGGATTCTGGATGGTGGGGAGAGACTCATGGACACGCCCCCCCCTCCCATCTCCAGTTCACGCATCTCCCCACAGGTGGCCTCGCAGAGTTCTCTCTTACTGTAAAAGGTTCGAAGCCGAATTCAGTCCCTTGCCATCCTTGTGTCTGGTACATGACGGGAATCTTTGTAAATCCCACGGCTTCCTGGCCCCGGTTCAGTGCAATGCCACAATTCCAGAAACACCGTTCCGGCATTAAAAGTCATTGAAACACAAGTCTGCTGGCATTCTCTTAAATAGGCTGAAGGGACAAGACATTCATAATGGCCTTTACAACGTGTTCGCCTTTCACCTTTTCATCTCTTTCCCTTTTAATGTCTCTATCATGAGGTTTCTTTTCCCACAGCATTCCTCAAAACACTTCTGTGTCTCAGCCAACATGGATTCTCTATTCTCCTCTCTTCTTTTATTTCCGACTCAGCTCTTTAGTTTGTAGAGTGACTTGGCCTTCTCCTGCCCTGCGTCCCCAGCTTCTGTACCACAGAAGACCGTGGACTGCCTGAGGGAGGAAGAGCCCCTTTCTCCCCAGGGAGAGAGGGGAAAGGGAGAGTCATGGGGATTTGTTACTTAGCTGCTTCTTCTGTAATTTCCATTATACTCCTGAGCCTCAGTTTTCTCATCCGCCGAGTGGGTGTAAAGGCAACATGCGTCTCGGAGTTATTACCAGAAGTCCATGAAAATGGAGTAGGAAAAGCCCTCCCACAGAAGGGAGCACCCACATAACTGCGCAATGAAGGTTATCTCCTTCCCCTGTTCCCAGTGAGATTTCAAAGACGTTCACCTTTTATTACTGACTCTTCTTTGTGTGAGTGATTTTGTATAGTGGCTCTTGCTTAGGATTATTTTCTGATGTAGTGACTGTCCTTAAAGCACGTTATAGTCTATGGGGCGCCTGGGTGGCTCAGTTGTTTAAGCGTCTGACTTTGGCTCAGGTCATGATCTTGCATTTCTTGAGTTTGAGACCCGCATCAGACTCTGTGCTGTCAGTGGGGAACCTGCTTCAGGTCCTCTCCTTTTCTCTCTGCCCCTCCCCAACTCACTCTCTCTCTCAAAAATAAACATGAAAAAAAAAGCATGTTATAATCTATACCATTTCATACTCCGTTCGAAAGAACAGTATTTTGTTCATTTTGCTATCCTCTATAGTACCCATCAAAATACTTTAAAATCTATTTAGTGCTCAACAAACACTGGACCCAACTTCACCACTAGGTTATGATATAGATTGAATCCCAGTCCATTTCCCGGACATACACATCACACCTGGCAGGACTTAGCATCACTTTGGAAACCCCAGAAAATGATTATGTACAGATAATGAATGAGAAAACTGTGTGACGTGACCACAGGGCCATTGGCTGAGACTTAGCACCACTCCTTTGAGGGAGAAGATTTCACTTTGGTTATTTTTCCAGCACCTAATGTACCCGTTTGTTTCTAGGCATGCAGTACTGTAGTGAAACTTGGCAAAGATTTCTGGGATATCTTATGAAATATAAATTATTCAGATCGACAAGAGGACAATTTTAATTCCCTTTAGAAGTTGCTAAAGTTTCAGCATAGTTACATATCCCTTTTTGATAAAGTTCAACTTTGGCATTCCTTTTACCCGTACAACTCTCTCTCCCCTCCTGTTAAAGCCTCACAATTCCCAAGTAAATAAAGGTTTCCAATTCACAAGTCTTGTTTGAGGGTAGCATAGACTTTTAGAGTTTTGCAAAATTCCTAATTTTGCTGTCCAAATCTATAATATGATTGTTTCTGTATATGAAAAAAATGTGCTTTGATAAACTTCATTAAAACCTCAATATATTTCTGTTCTGTACTGGCTTTTCTGCGTCTTCTCTCTTTTGCCTCTCTATTTTACCTTCTCTCCAATTTCCTCAATAGAAGGGAAGTTTTCAATACTCAGAATCTGCCCTACACTCTTTATCTCCTGTATTTTCAAGCGGTTACCACACATACACACACACACACAACATATATATATGCAATTAAATGGTGAATCCCCAGAAGACACAAGACTGTCACATCTTAGGATTTGGATGAAGCAATCACAGGAAAAATGGCATTTCCTGCAGTCATTGCTGCCTCTTTTGTCAGAGAGGGAGAGAGAGAGAGAGAGAGAGAGAGAGAGAGCAATTTTGCCAGCAGACAGGAGGAGGCATTGAGAGAAATGAGTGACAATGGCTCCACTCTTCACCTCAGTCTGGGCCCCTGAAAATGAGGCTGAAAGCAAATTGGCAGGGACCTCCAGAAAGATAGACACAAATTTGCTTTCTCACAGCCCTCTCTTCTCTTCACTCACTGCCATGAAAAATAAAAAATAATAACACTTCTAGTTTCCATGATAATCTCTTTATCTAGAAAATGATCCTATGTAAATAAAACAGTATTTAATGCCATTTTACATGTACTTTTCTGATTATATTCTTGATACACAAGTTAAAATATTAGGGAATGCAGGGAAAAATCACTTTAACCACAATATCTAATTTTTTTTTAACATTTATTTATTTTTGAGAGACAGAGACAGAGTATGAGCAGGGGAGGGGCAGAGAGAAGGGGAGACACAGAATCCGAAGCAGGCTCCAGGCTCTGGGTTGTCAGCACAGAGCCCAACGTGGGGCTCGAACTCACAAACCGGGAGATCATGACCTGAGTCGAAGTTGGACGCTTAAAAGACTGAGCCACCCAGGTGCCCCTAACCACAATATCTAGAATCAGCTGTTTACTTCAAAAAATTTTTTCATGCTTATTTTTGAGAGAGAGAGAGAGAGAGAGAGAGAGAGAGAGAGTGGAGGAGGGGCAGAGAGAGAGAGGGAAACACAGAATCTGAAGCAGGCTCCAGGCTCTGAGCTGTCTGCACAGAGCCCAGCGTGGGGCTTGAACATATTAACCGTGAGATCATGACCTGAGCCAGTCAGATGCTTAACGGACTGAGCCACCCAGGCGCCCCAGTTGTTGTTTACTTTGATATATATCCTTATGTGTTGTGTGTGCATGTGTATACACATGTGTGTATTTTGCATTAACTTGAATTTGTTTAAATTCTCACTTTAATATGAACAAATGAGGAAACAGCTTGAAATTACATTGCCATTTTCTCCCTAATACTCCTAACTGTGCTTGAGAGAAACATTTTTATAAACTGGATGCAAAGTGAGGTTTGAAGGCGTATTTTCAGAGAATTAGTAATTTTGGAGTTTCTAACAGCCAGATTTTTTGAATGGTAAAAACCAAAAAAAAAAAAAAAAAAACGAACACACAGAAGGCAGCAAAGGGTAGAGAAAATGGTTGAATAATCAGCTGCGTTGTTGAAGCGGGTGGAGGGAAGAAAGAGTCAGCCTATCACATCTAAGCACTATTCAAAGGAAAGCGTGCTCCACTTGATGGGCAGGATGCCAGGACGCAGTAATAAAGGAGCTATGTAGGACTGCACCATGGTACTCTAGAAATACATTTTCCAATTAGTCATAAGTGTTTATTCATCAAGGCATACCACAATGCTTTTGGTAACTGAGTTGTACAAGCAGCTGTAATTGGCAATTGAGAAGCATCATCGCAAATGTTTTGATGTCTAATCCTGAAATTGTTCACGCTCCACACTTCCACCGAATGGTCCCTCTGTCCGGGAGTGGTGGTGTCAATGGTGTGCCTGTGACTACAGGTTTAGGTCCTTTATAATCATCCAGCATTACATTAGGTCCACCTCACCCGTATTGTCCATTTTTCCTTGAGGAAAAAGGAAGAGACATTGAAGCAGATTAAAAAGGCTACTTTCAGCAAGGTTGCTGGATATTTTAAGTGCAAAGGGAAGCTGATAGGATGGTCAACTTAAAAGTATTTTTCCAGAGCGTCAGAGTACAAGCGTCCACACGTCTGAAGCCCTTACTTCCCACAAGTCCCAGCAAGATCAGCTGGATGGGGCTGCAGATCAGCGTGGAGAGCTAGAGAGCCCGGATGACAGCTCCTGGTAGCTCTGCGTGGGTAACGTATCACATTTGCCTTCTGGCCATGAATCTAGAACAATTTTTAAGCTGGATGAAAAGCTCCAATGAAAAGAAGTCCACAGGATGTTGCCTGACCTTTAAAAAGAAAATCATCAGTACTGACAGGCTTTTGAATTTAAAAAAAAAAAAAAAAAAAAAATTTTTTTTTTTTTTTTTTTTTTTTTTTTTTTCACTTATTAGTAGCACAGAGCTGCAAATATTACTTAAAAGAGTCTCCTCCCTTTACTCTCCAGTTTTCAGGTACTTAGTATGAGAAGCTTGTGACAATTAAATCAATTTCCACTGGAGTCCCCAGAGGTGGGGCTCACCCCAGCTTTCTCAAGGAGACTTCTTGCACTGATAAGGAGCCAGCAATTTACCGGGCAGGATGCAGCAAAGTAGAAAAATGAAACTTCAGGTCAAAGAAAAACTTTGTAGCAGAATTACCACTTCTTACAGACTGAAGATCAAGCTTCTACTCCAGTCTTCTATATAATGGGAAGAAGAGGGTAGCCAGATTTAGGCCTTGAAAATAGCTTTCTGATAATACTGTTTGACTCATGCAACAAGAGCTGTTATTAAAACAATGTTTTACTTCCCCCTTGCTCCAAGTTTAAAATGCACTTTTCATTTCCAGAGGTGAAAAAGGAGCCCACTGATTTGGGTGCATATGGAGAGTTATAGATACAGTAGCCTGAGCATTCATTTCACAACTATGGAAGCAAAAGCTAAATAAAACACCACCCCAATGCCCTTTGCCTGTGTTCAATCCTGGTAATTAGAATGTGAAGCTGCTCTGAGACCACAGACCATCGTCCTCCTCTTCCTCTCTTGACCGTTCAAGCACAGCCGGACCAAGGACCCCCGTGCCCAACCTCTTCATCACCAGTCATCCTAATCTGCAGGTAGAGCCGTCCAATACCTTCTCACCAACACTACCGGCCACCTTTGATGTGTTCAGCACATGCTGTAGAACCAACAGGCAAAGGATTAAGAGGTGGGGTGGACCTTCCTCCTGGGCCACCTGGCCTTGGAGCTTATCAGAAAGTGTCAGAGCCACCTGCCCAGCTCGCCAGGCTGCCTTCCCATGAAGCAGCAGGGGCCCTGCACTGGACAGTGTAAGCAGATGGTGAGAGAGAGCACGCATCAGAGGCGGTCTGAATATCTAAGGTAAAAGGGCAAGCCTGGGCTGTGGCGAGAAAGAGTTTGAGAAAGCTGAGGTCCTGGTAGCCAGGGAAGGTTCTCAGAGACTGTTACCCTGAGCACTCTTGGAAATCTCCCGAGGCCTCCCGAGTCAACACATTCTGGCCCAGTGACTAGGTTAGCACTGCTCTGTATCACTACCTCCACTGGGTTAGGGCCCTCATCAGCTCAGGCCAGTCACTTGCAGAGCGTCTGCTGTTAGGGTTACGTTTTTGTTTGCATGCACTGGGATACGAACCACCTGGCGACTCCAAGCAGAGCTGGCCGTGTGGGTATGCGACCTGTGCATTCTCATGGGGGCCCCATGCTCAGAGAGGCTTGCTCTTGCTCTAATGCTCTGCTGTTGCCATCTGGAAGTTCTTAATCACTTTCATACAAGGGGACTTACATTTTCATTTAGCACTGGGCCTGTACATTAGGTAGCCAGTCCTAACTGTAAGCCTGTGTCCCAGGCAGCCACTTGATCTGCTCTACCTGGAGGTTGGCTACAACCTGCTCAGGAGAGGGAAACTGCTGGATTTAAAGCAGCACAGAAGCTCTCCTTGAAATAGAGGAGCCATCAAAAACTGGTGTAGTTTTCATGAGATGTGCCCAGGCCTCTCATGCAGAACAAGAGAAACAAATAAAGGCTGCTCATCAAGATAATTGGGATCCATTGATTCAAAGGTCAAGACAGCCCTGCTAATTAATTGGGTAAATGTTGTTTTTCTTTACCCCTCCATACGGATTTAGATTTCACTCTCAGAGGAAAAATCAAGATTTGTCCTTGGGAGTTGAGATTGCTTTAATAGGTTGACCAAATAAGCGGCCAGCAGGCCTAGAGCTCAAGGGAATGTTAGAAAGGATTTGAGGGTGTACAGAGAGCTCGACCTCCAGAACAGGAGCCTTTTCCCATGGCCACAAGACTGGAATACAAGAGCAGCAAAGCCACAACAATAACCCCAGGGCACCACTCAGGACAGAAATGGTGGTCACAGACTTAGGACATTGTTCAGGGGGTAGGACCTAGTGGTTGAGAGCTTTTAAAAGGTGGCTTCCCTGAGGTTGGAAAGCAAGTGCAAGTTAGTTGAAATGTCATCCTTTATCATTTCTTCTAGAACCACCCTGGCTCTTCAGTAGAGGTTTGTCGAAGCATGCAGTGTCTGCTCTATAGTTACAGGGAGGCTGATGGGTCGTGCACGCGGTAGGGAAGGGGTTGGGCTGACGGGGCGGTCTAACCTCATCTCTTTCTGACTTGCGAGACAGCGTGTTCACTCATCCAAGGACCTATGGCTCTAAGCTCCAAGAGATTGTGGTAGACTTGGAGATTCTGTTAGTGCTCCATGAGCTGAAGGTCAATTCCAAAGAGGACTTACACAAAAGAAACAGTAAAACAAATCATCACCACTCCTGTATATCAGTTGGAGAATACTGTTCCCCAAAAGGGGAAGAGGAATCCTGGTGAACGCCTGGATTATACAATCTATCTAGAAGGACTAAAGATCCCTCACCAAAGCTCTTCCTCATTTGTATAACTTGTAAGTCAAAAGCTTCACTATGTGTAAAGCACCAAATGCTACGTGCTATCGATAGAACGTTTATAGCTATATAAGAGTCATAGGTGTTGGACATACCTTGGAATAATGGAGTGAACTCAATAAAACAAGGTGATGTTTTGCTGTTTAATAACATTTATAATTGTTATCGTACTGAGTGTCGATTAGGGCCTGATAGCAAGTGGCTCACATGTGACTGAAATTAATGTTTCTTTTACAAAGTCAAATCCAGTTTTCAGTTTTTCTTCTTCCACCCGGCTCATTAATATTATTAACAAAAGGCACCGGGTTTGCTCATTGGTCCCCAGATTTGCCCATCTCTGTCCTTCTCTTGACTCTGAGTCTGGCCCCTGTGGGCTCCATCTTTGGTGCTCCCTTGCAGGCCAGCTTCTGGTTGGATCTGGACAATGACGGGCACCAGTGAATCAGAGGGCAGGAAGAGAGAGGCTAGGGGTTCTCCGGCTTGTTCAACCCCATCTTCCTCATCCCCTTCTCTCTGTCAGAAGCTGGACCTTTTGGTGAGCACAGTGCCGACCAAGGCTCTGTTTTCAGGGGGCTCTGGTTGCCCAAATTCCTTCCTCTGTCCTTTCAACCCTGGGTCTTAATGTCCTTGTAGCCCCAGGTCAGCTGCTGGTAGCCTCCTCTTGGTGCACTCCCTTCACGTTACCTGCACCCCTGCAATTGTCCTTTCCTAAATCCTCTTCTTCTGAGCCCAGGTGCATTTTGCCTGACCCTAGGAAGGCACAGATGCATGAGGCACACAGGCTTATCCTCCTCTGTCTCACTCCCTTGGTTAAATGCACACAAAGTTCTCGAATCCACTCTGCGACACCTGGGATCCTATCTGACCAGTCCCACACCCTCCCTCACCACCATCTCACATGCACAGATTGCTGAGGTTTCCTGAGAGTTTTCTCCCACCTCCGGATCTTTCCCCTTCCGTCCTATCCCAGTTCTAACCTTCACACTTCACCATTATTTGTGCAGCAAATTCCCAGAGCCAATGATAGCATGCGGGACTGAGTGTGAAGTAAGGAGCTGTGTGATCATGGGCTACGTCTGGCAGAGAGTAGCGATGCCATCGCTCCAGAGGTTCACACTCTCACACCTCCTAGCGACAGGTCTCCAGAACCTATCCCTAGAACAACCTCCAGGGAGGAAGCCTGTAATCTCCTCCAGGGAGGAAGCCTGAAGGTGGGAAAAGAGGAGGGCAGAGCCTATGGTTTGCCTCGCCCCAGGTGCTCTGCACAGACTTATTTCTCCCATCTCCACCTTTGCAATTATTACAGCTTTTGTGGACCTTGGTCACTCCTGTCATCAAGGGACCTTCTTTGGCATATGTGTCCCGCATCCCGTTTCTGTATCCCCAGGATCCAGCAGCAGTACTTGGCTCACAACGTTTGCTGCGTTAACTGTTAAAACACGTATTCTGTAAAGACTTTTAATGATTCATTTGGGAGAAGAGATGTTGCCATATTCCTCATTAAAGGAGGAAGTCAACACTGAAGATGAACAACGAAAAGGGAGGAACCTGGGATCATCAAACCCAACCCGCTTCATTGTTTTGTTTACTTACCCTTAACTCATCAAAGCAGAGAAGGGTAGGGAATTATTATGGATTTTGAATAGGTCTACATTTGTGTGTCATAGAGGGAATACTGTAGACAATGTGTGCTTGAGCCTTCCGTAAAGCTGGAGATCTATGGGCAGTGCTATGGTGTCGCTGCAGGAGAAGTACAAAGACCAGGCAAGAGGTCAGCAACCCTGGGTCCGGCTTCTGGTCCTGCCACCCCCCAGCCATCTGACTTGGAAAAACATCATCCAACTTTTATCTACCTTTCGCTTTGAAGCTGTACAATAGAGATTATAATATCTACTCTGCATCCTTCCTCCTACTATTGGGAGAGTCATGAAATAACGCAGGAGAGTTTCTCCGACTGAACAGCGTGAGACAGAGGTGAAGCCCCAGAATCCGTATCTACGCCCCGATTTGCTGAAGCCTGGAGAGGCTCAGGCCACGCGAGATGCACTATCCCCAGAAGTGTGTGTGCACCGAGGAGCAGGCAGGTGTGCTGATCTCATTCCAGCAGTTAATTGCACGTACTCTGGAGGCCCCTGACCGTTTCCAGCCTCACTTTGGAGGCAGTAGATTACTAGGGAATTGTGTTCCTGTCCATGCAGATTCCTTCTTGCTCCCCAGAGCTGTTCTTCTCTGTTTTTCCCTCAGTGTGATTACTCACTAATCCCTTTCCCTTCTCACATTTGCTTTTGACCAGACCCATGTGTTTGACTCCAGAATGACTCCTGTGGATGCAGGTTTGGACTCAAAACATTTGGTTGGAAAGTCACTCCAGGCTTCTGCCATGAGGGATTCTTGTAGTTTCCAAGAACATTCTCTTGTAACCATCAAAATGTCTTAGGTCAGAACGTTTTCATACTGTGGCTGTGTGTGTGTGTGTGTGTGTGTGTGTGTGTGTGTCCACATACTGGTTGTACTTAGTGGAAAGAAGGCTCATGGGCCAAAAACCTATTTGGGTTTGTTTGGATGAGTAAGAAATGATGGGAATTCAGAGTGTATAAGATTATAAATATTACAGAGGTTATTCAAAATCTCATTTACTTTAGTCTGACTGCCTCTTTACTCTACATATTTAAATTCCATTTGCAGCCACCGACCCTGATACTCTTAAAGAAAATAGCAACAAACAAGCTACTGCTAAGGGAAATGTAAATTGGTTTGTTTGCTTCTTCACACTCCTGGGCAGTGAAAACACAAGCAATTGTTATTCTGAGGGTCTCATTGAATATACAAAATCTTTGTCTTTCTTAGGAGTTGCTTTAAAGGTTAACCACTTTCTAAAGAGTTCTTTGTGTCTAGAAACCAATTTTGGGCTCCTTTTGTCCAGCTACAAAGTTCTTATAAACTTGTGAAAGTTTCCTACACAAACACGTTTGCACTCATTGAGAAAATGGAGAAAACCGTTGGCCTTGGGAAAATCTGTTCCTCTTTGACATTTACAAAGTCTTCATAGGGTATTGGGAGCTGCTTCAGCTTCTAGAAGCCCACTGCTACTGGAGGTATGTTTGAGGGGACAGGGGGGCAGAATTCTGAGACATGGATACCCTGGTCCTGGCCTGGAACTTGTGCACACACAGCAGTGATCATGCCTGTGGGAATCTGTGCTCAAGATGTGAACTCTATGCTCATCCCACCGAATTTCCAGGTTCCAAGCCCCTTCCTTCCTGGATAATTCTTTTCTAGCAGTGCATTTCATGTGCTCAGAAATGTCTCTTCTCATGTGAATTCCTACTCAATTTCTATTCACTTTTTCCTATAATGATGGTGTACGAGCCAAGACGGTATGCTTGGGCTGCCCTCAAAGAGAGATGTATAATGCCCACGGTCCCCGATCTAAGTTGGGGCCATAAATGAGCAATACCTTGGCAGTGTGGATGTCTTCCACCTTTCCCCAGGATGAGAAAATATCACGTCTAAAATCCAAAAGCTTAAACTACCAAAAATTTTAATATTTTCATACATATGATCCCTAGTTTCAAAAAGGTTTCTTTTAAATATGGGATCAGTCATTGGACATTTAAAATGTCCATTGAGGGGCACATGGGTGGCTCAGTCGGCAAGGTGTCCAATTCTTGATTTCAGCTCACGTCCTGATCTCACAGTCATGAGTTTGAGCCCTACATTGGGATCCACAATAGGCATGGAGCCTGCTTAGGATTGTTTCTCTCCCTTTCTTTCTGCCCCTCACCCATGTGCATGTGTGCACACACACTCTTTCTCAAAAAAAAAAAAAAATGGGATTTGATGTATAGACATTTCATTCAACAATGTGTGAAGGGAGGAACACCTACAATGCGATATTTCAATTTAGAGACAAAGCTCATACTAAGTAGTTACCAACCACTTGCCAACCACCAACAACGGTCAATTGCTTGAAGTTGGATTTGCCTTTTTGTAAAATGTTTTCTCAACAATTCAAAAGGAATCCTCTTCTGCCCTGCCTCCCAATATGGAGACTCTTTCTATTTAGTCATACATAATACAGGCACTTTCTCTTGCCTGAATGATTCATCAAAAATTTTTTTAAAGGTCTAAAATGCAGGTATTTGGGCTTCTGCCTATTTTTCTATTGTGTTTGTTCTTAATCTCTCACAACTCAATGATACAGACTGCAATTGTAAGTCTAGCCCATATAGGCTGTAATTGTTCAACAAAGGGGGACCTCGGTGAGGTCACAACAGTATTTGAAAGCCATTACGGCAAAGCAGGTTGGGCTGGTGCGGCACTAGTCATACATTGCCCTGCTAATTGGGAGGCACAGATGTGGGTACAGAACGAGAAGCTTCCTTGGACCGAGTGAAAAGCAAGCTGGTCTAATTAGCTGGGGGCTTGTGAAGAACAGACAGGGCTGGTGCTGGAGCACCCATGGTCCACGGCCAAAAAGATGGCCTGAGGTCAGCCACCGGCTATGCCATGATCCTTGGTTCCATCTGGACTTAAAAGAAAAAAGTCGTAAGTGTGAAAACCCAGCTAAGGCTTGGAGTCTCAGCAACCTGAATTTGCTCTCTCAAAGAAAGGTAAGTATGCATGACGAATAGCACATCTCCAATGTAGCCACTGAAAGATAAACTTGCAACTGCACAATTCATTAAAGTCAATATGCATAACCATGACACTATCCTAACTGTATCAGAAATGATACATGTGGCTTCTAATTCTCTTAGAACCACAATTCTAAGCATCAAATCCTCATGTGATAGTGTTCAAAGGCAAGAAGAAAGGGGTGTGGGACACCAACTTCCCCCTACCCCCACCCCATCTCAGTGGCTAGAATTGCATCAGATTCCTACCCCTAAACCAACCACTGGGAAAGGGGAAGGATGCACAGGAGAGGCTGAGATCAGCCACTGTTCATGTGGGGAAGCAGGAACAGGGCAGAGGGGATCCACTTTTCTGGAAAACATCGCCAATGCTATCTGACTGTAATTAGGGTTCTAAGTTTTATCCAGTCCCCACAGGATACAAAAGAACAATCACAAGCTACTGAAAACAGAGCCTCCTAAACTAAATGGAAGCAATATAGCTTGGGAGATAAATGCTAAATTGGAGAGCTGTTGCTTTGGGTTGCTTTGTCAAATGACTCACTCCCTGCTATGTGTCCTTGGGCAGCTCTCAATGGATCCAAGCCCCAGTATGTGCTTCTATCAA